AATGGCAGGGAGGCACCAAAAACATATCTTTAAAGATGTTTCAAAGTCAGTATTTTGTTGCTCATTAAACCTTAGAAATAAGTGTCATTGTAATTCCTTATCTGAAAGGTAAAGTAGATGTTTTTAAATTCAAGATCTAGTATTTCAGTGTTGAGCTAATACATTCTTTATAATTATAGCCATATATCTGATAACAGAGGAGAAATGAGTAGGGCTAATGCTGTGGAACTGACCAGAGTATGCCAGTTGAGAGCTGCATCACACTGATCATAAAGGCCAGAATTTCACCTCTTCTGTAACTGGGTGATTGGACACAGTGTTCTGTGAACCCTAATCACCTACTCCCCAGTTAGTGTATGTGTTTGCCATATTTAATTATTGTCTCTGCCTGATATGACCTCTGTGAAACGTAGGTAAATAACAGGTACTGTGTAGAATGAGAGAGCAGATAAAATGTGTATATGCTGGCTGGCACATGACTTTTATAACACTGGATTCTTTTTCTGGCATTCATTCACTGTCAGTGTGAAGAATACTATGGAAGAATTCATTGTGAATTTCACCTGCCAGCATGAAATGTAGTTAAGATGAAAGATTATCCACTTAACAGTGGTTTGACTAGACTACTGGGAAAGCTTGAATTTGCATTAATCTTAAAGGGCTATAGATATGGAGCAATGTATATGTTTATTATTAAGTGTGTGGTGGTCCTTAAATGTTCCCTAATAAAAAGTTTGATATTTGTGTCCACTTGGTTATATGTTCATTTTTGTTGTGGGAAAGGCATAGGGCTGAGGGTGTAAATTTTATATGTGAATTTGAAAAATAAAATGTCAACCATATTTTAGAAATATTCTAATGTAAATATAAACACATATGTTGGGATCCACTAATTTTGTAAAGGAAGTTCTTTATTCCTTTAATAACTAGGGGAATTATTATAGTTTGAAAATTTCAAAAGCATCATTAGTATGTATGTATTGATACATAACGTAATTGAAGCTGTGCCCAGAATTGTGATGAGGTCTTGCATAAAAGGTCCTGTTTCTATTACAGCATGGTCTGTTTTTTATTTCAAGCTACTTTTAAGTTTAATCTGCATTATTAATGTCTCCATCACATTTTTATTGAGATGTAATGGACATAAAACATTCTATTAGTTTCAGGCACACAACATAATGATTCAGTATTTTTATATATTGCAAAATGATCACCACAATTCTCTATCACTTTTTTGGTCTAGACCAGGGGTCAGAAAAATTTTTCTGTAAAGGATCAGGTAATAAATATTTTAGACTTTACAGGCCATATAGCCTTTATTTTAACTATTGTCTCTCAACTTCACTGTTGTAGAGAGGGCAGCAAAAACAGCAATAGACAAGGCATAACTGAATGGGCATGATGTGTTCAAATAAAACTTTACTTAGAAAAACAGGTGATGGGCTAGAATTGACTTATGGGCCATAGTTTTCTGATTCCTGGTCTATAATAATACATCAAGCCCAGATCTTAGGTTGCCCATCTCTGTGGTGTAAATATTCACAGGCTGGCCAATACAAAGCTTCCAACTTGACATCATTGCATTCAGAGTGGACAGATGCGCAGCTCCCCCCATGGTGGTATTTCCACCATCAGCTATCGTCAAGGTAAATGACACAAGAGCATAGATTATAGTAAAATGTAGGAAAATACTTAGGAAGTGATAAGTTTTTTTTGTTGTTCATTTTTTTGTTTGTTAATCTTCACCCAAGGATATTTTTTCCTTTGATTTTCAGAGAGAGTGGAAGGGATGGGTGGNAAATACTTAGGAAGTGATAAGTTTTTTTTGTTGTTCGTTTTTTTGTTTGTTAATCTTCACCCAAGGATATTTTTTCCTTTGATTTTCAGAGAGAGTGGAAGGGATGGGTGGGGGGAGGAAGAGGGAGAGAGAGAGGGAGAGAAACATCAACGTGAGAGAGACACATCGATTGGTTGCCTCCTGCACAAGCCCCAACCAGGACCAGGGATCAAACCTGCAACCCAGGTATGTGCCCTTGACTGGGAGTCGAACCCACCACCCTTTGTTGCACAGGCTGACACTCTACCCACTGAGCCATGTCTGCCAGTACTAGGAAGTGCTGTTTTGAATATTTATTGCTTTTTGTAGCTAATATAACTTATTTAATTATAGGCATCTATTTTATTTTTTAAATAATGACTGTTTAAGAGCTGGCTCACTAAGTTAGCAAATAAGAATGTGGAAATAGTTTAAAAGCAAGATGAAGATTTTATGAACTTGTACTCTATATAACTCTTACCAGGGGCTCTACACTAATTTTTAAATGCAGGGAATCCACTGAGTGTTTGTGAAATACTGAGGTTGTATTGGACTTAGCATTTGTACATTGTTGCAGTGAGCTTTCTGATTGACTAAAAGGAATCAGTGGCAGTTAGGTATGTTTTCAGGTGCTTCTCAGGCAGTGAAGAACCGAACCGTTCACTGGTGCAGTTCCTGTGATATATTCATGCACTCTCTCATACGACTGTGTGCGTGATGGGGGAAATGCCATTCCGTGGGTGGTTTTAGAGTAAGGTATCTTTAGTGCAGAAGATCCTGTTATGCTTGAAACGGACATAAGTGCACTCACATCTAAACTGGCTGATTAAAAACAAGGTAAGAACGAGAGCAGTGGTTAGAGCCTCTTCTCCCCACTCTGCTTCCTACTCCCTTCACTCCTCCTCTGAATCCAAGTGAGAACAGATGTCGAGGTGGCAGAGATGAAGTGATGCTTATTTTAGATAGATAAAGGATAAATTGGATTTTGAAAAAGAATTTGTTAAGGGAACGTGATAAATTGGGGCCTTGATCATTTATTTTGCCACTTTTCTGAAATCTAGATGAATTTAGGTATTAAAACTTATGTGTTTGTTAACTGGAAGGAATAATTTAGTTGATTCCTATATTGAAAGGTACAGTTTCAACAGCACAGTTGCATTTTGATATTTCAAAAGAGAAAGATAAAGGGAGCAGCTGGGCAGGGGTGGTTTGGCTCTTCCTGAGGTGCTGGTGTTGGAATCTGCAAATAGAACAGTGCTGATAGCTCTTTTCCTTTCAAAGAGGTTTGTTTTGGATATTGTGCTCCATTTTGTAGTTGTTGTTTTTTTAATAGACATTTGAACTGTATAACACATCAAATGGAGGAACAGCTTTTCCTTTTTTTTAAGTTGACTCCAGCCATTGTAAAAGTATTTCTGCTTCAGAGATAAAAATTATATATTATAGGAATATTTGCATGTCTTTTTCAGTATCTTAAAAGTTGTAATTATGTAAGTATTCCATTTTCGTCAAGTTTTGCATGTCTTCTCTGCTCATTGTTTCTTATCATTGATTGCTGTTTTTTTTAAAAAATAATAATCTCANAGTTTTGCATGTCTTCTCTGCTCATTGTTTCTTATCATTGATTGCTGTTTTTTTTAAAAAATTATTATTTNCAAGTTTTGCATGTCTTCTCTGCTCATTGTTTCTTATCATTGATTGCTGTTTTTTTTAAAAAATAATAATCTCATTGCTAAGCTGCCTGAGGACTGGAAAGATTCTCGAGATAATAAAGGTTTAACCTTATTTCTGTTATGAACTTAGCATTTTAATAAAGCTGTGTTGTAAGTTATTCCCGGGACTCTGGGAGTGTTGTACCTAATGTGTGGCTCTCAGGAACTCGGCGGGCGGAGCCCATGAGGGGGAATGTCAGGAAGCGAAAGGGTGAGAATCAGTGGAGTGAGTGAGTAATGCAGAGCAGTTGTGAGAGTTCTGTAGCTCCCAAGACGTAGAGAACAAACTTTTAACCTGGAGGTGGTTTCGGAGGTCACCTCATTCAGTGCTCTTCAAACTGTTGGAACAGCCCCTGGCTTTGGGCCTTGGGGGGACCTCAGGGAGGGAGGTGGGGCTCCAGTGCTACCCAGCACTGTTCAACTTTCTAAAACATCTGCTTTATAGGTGAGGGTTACATTTGAGAAGATGGTTCTGCTGCTAAAGTTAAAAAAAAAAAGTTTGAAGGCCACAGAGTTGAAGACTACTGATTAGATTATTTGATGCTAGTAGAATCCTCTTATTTTACAGGTGAGGGGCCTAAGGAACAGGAGACTTCTGAGATTATACAATGGGAACAGTAAATCCCATCTTTATTGGCTCCTGTCTGGAGCACCAGGTAGACTCTGGAAATTGACGGAGATTATGGCATAGCTGTGATTTCCAGAGTTCTGATCCAGAAATACGAAAAACTGTCCCTGTCAAATCCAGTCCCTGCTAATTCCTATGACAATTAGGTTACTAAAATTTTAGGTTTTGGTTAACTGCAAAGGTTTAATGCTCTTGAATCAGATGGGAAGAATACAGTTTATCTTTGAGGGATGCAAAATGAAAGCAGGCTTGGCCTGTTTTATAATTTATCTTTTATTTTTTAGGGTACTAAATTCAAGGTAAAATGGGAAATTGAAACCAGAATATGGAATTTTAAAATGAAAATTAGATTGTCATTACCTGGCAGCTTATTTCCTTTCAGTGGATATGTCAACTATTTGAAAGTAAACTGGAAGATTATAACTTAAGCTTTGGAGTGGTTTTAATTCTTTATTTTATTCAAAAACTTGCTGCTGGTTTGAATTTCCCCCCCCAAAAAACCTTTTTTCTCATTAATGTTGAGGGATTCTCTGTTTTTAAAAAGTGTTATGATTTCTGATTTGGCTAATGTCCTTATACTAGGATCCTGATCATTTGAACTGGATTTGTTTGCCAGTCTTAATCTGTTTTCATTAGCTAGAGCTGTTGTGAGAAAAGGCCCCATGGGAAGAACAGAATTAGCTTAGCAATTCTGCTCATTCATCCATGGCTATATAGCACGACTGTTTTCATTTCTGACGTTGCGGTTGAACTGGATCAAAAGCAAGTAATTTTCACATACTTCTGAGTAAGTCCGTATCTCCTGTCTCTCTGAAGTCTTTTCTGTACCTCTGTTTTCTTCCAGGTGAGGAACTTTAAATTGGAACAGGAGCAAGAAAAAAACAAAATTTTGTCAGAAGCACTGGAGACGCTAGCCACTGAACACCATGAATTAGAGCAGTCCCTGGTGAAAGGCTCCCCCCCGCCCAGCGTCCTCAGTGAGGACGAGTTCTATGACGCGCTGTCAGGTAATTCAGAGGCCTGCCGGCTGGATCGTTGGTGATTTAAAGTCCACCACCTACGTGAGGGTGGACGTCACCTTGAGTTTCCTGGATTGAACAGATAGAGATGTATCACTACAGCTCTCCAAAGTACCTCCGTTTTATGTTGTGTTACTAGGGCGGGAGCCTGAAAGTTTGGAATGAAAGTCATTACTGAGGTCCCCTGTGTTGATGGGTTATGCTGTGCTGGGGATAGAGTGCCATTAAAACTGCATGAATTTAGTATTTCTTTATTCAGTGATCATTAAATACCTCCTAGTTCCAGGTGCTATTACATGTTTAAGGATAGAGAGATGGACATTTTCTGTCCTCAAAGAGTACCCTTACTCTGTATTCTTAGAGTAAAAGATACAGAGAAGTAACAGTTGGTAACAGTACCGTATGGTAAGTGCCAAAGTAGAGGGGAGACCATGGTGTGGCTGAAGCAGCGAAGTGCTTAACTTTGCCTCGTAAATACATGCCAGAGCACAGTGTAGCGTACTGGGAATCCTGTGTGGGAATCCTGCCTCTGACAGCCAGCTGTGTGACCTTCAGCAATTTCCCGGACCTCTCTGGTTTTCAGTGTTCACGGATTTAAAATGGGGTTAATAATAGTATTTATAGTATCCATTTCAGCAGGTTGAGTCAGGATTAATTGAGTTCATATGTTTAAATAGTGTTTAGGACAATGTCTGACGTGTCCTAGGTACTCAAACAATGGGAGATATATGTGGAGAGTCAAGAGTGACTTTCAAGAGGAGGTGCTACTAATTCGTTTTGACCTTCTAGGAATTTAAATGTTTTGAGGTAGGTGTGGGGGGTTATATGGAAGGAACATGTAGAGGGGAGTGGTTGGAGATCGGTGAGATAGAGAACAACTAATTATGTGAGGAAACTTAAGTGCTTATATCCTAGATGAACATATATAATTACTGGGTCGGCCGTGGAATCAGGAGACCTCGGAGGACAAGGAACTGAAGGATGCGCAGTGATGGGTAATAGACGTGAGAACTAGAAGATTAGGTTAAGGGAGTTAAAGTGACCATATAGGACAGGAAAGATGACGTTGGTAGATGGAGAAGAGATTCATTATATAATATAAACAGAGCAAATGGAAACATTATTATTAGAAGCGTGATCTCATCAAAAGGGGGAAGAGTAATTTTAATAGCCAGATTTTGAAATAATCAGAGAAAAGATGGTAGTTATGATGCTGTCAATGAGATATGGTATTTGTGAAGAGAATGACTCATTTTGGGAAGAGAAAGTAAACTGGGATCTGAAAGCAGTGGAATGAGTAACAGGAATGTGTAACGTGACTGCGGAAGGTGGCGGGGAGGGCGATGACATTGATTCGCATCTACCCTGTGCCAAATCCAGTAGTGTTATCTCCTGTATTCCTTCTGTTTGGGGCATTCAAAAAGGAAAGTACCTAGAGGGATCTTTGGATTAAATGCAAAGAGGTCTGAATATAAAAGAACCCAGACATTTTAGCTGCTCATCTTTTATGTCCTTTAAAAAAAAAAAAGAAAGAAAAAAATATTCATTTAAAAAACCATATTTGTTATAAACAATTAAAAATAAAAGTGCCCATAGTACTCAGTGAAATTTTCCCTTCCTCCTTTATTCTAAATACGCACTGTTCCTGAGAGGTTCTTTTTAGCTTCTCTTCTTATGTCTGCTCTCTTCCAGACCTTTTGAAAGTATCCGCATGTATATGTGCGTGTGTTCCATACGATTGTTGTTTTTTAAATCATCAATGGGTTTAGCTGCGTAATTGTTCTGGATCTGCTTTTCCGTAACAACGTATCTTGGAAATCTTTCCCGTCAGTACTCCAACTCTAGCTCACTCTTTTTAAAGTTTGCATAAACGCCCATGATATGATTGACCAGTTTTCTTAATCATTCTATTCTTGACAGACATTTGGCAGCTACTGGCATCTTTCTGCTTCTTAGTCATATTTTAATACTCATCTCCACAACTGTCTCATTTGGGAAGGGGAGATAGAAAGAACTGTGCTCCCTGAGTCAATATTGGCAAATAAATTTCATCTTAGGTGTCGGTTCAGGTTGGCTCACATTACCTGCTGCCTTATGGATTACTGTGTTGAGAAAGATCCCAAGGCTGGTCCAAGTCCTAGCTTCATCAGCATGTTCTGCCGTGGCTGTGGGATATGAAGGAAAGGGGCAGGTGCCACGCATTCGCTCCTTCCTGCCCTGAACATACTAGCCTTTCTGTGGCCTCTGCTACTATTACAGCAAATCTTGGGAATCATTTGGTACAATGTAGAACTGGGTTAAAATTAAGAGTCAGGTGCCCTGGGTTCAAGTCTTGACCTGCTGATGACCTAGCCACATAATTCACTGAGGTCGTAAAAGACATCATTTGGGAATGACTTCGTCTTCTCATTACAATTTCTACACATCAACCTCCATTCCCACTTCCTCCTTCCCTTCTGTTATAAAAGAAGAAATGTTCCCCCTTAATTAAAGCCATCCCCACCTCATTTGCTCAGGCACCCATCTCCTCGTGCCTACTCAAGAACTTTTGTTTAGTTATTGTTCCTTCCACCTACACTCCAATACCGCATCATTTTAAATACTAACTTCAGGGTCCTATAGTAGTTTCCTATTGCTGCTATAACAAATTATTACAAATGTTATAGCTTAAACAGTGCAGATTTATTCTCCTATAGTCCTAGAAGTCAGAAGTCCTAAAGTCAAGGTGTTGGCAGGGCTGTCTTCCTTCCGGAGGAGCTAGGAGAGGATCTGTTTCCTTGCCTTTTCTTGTTTCCAGGGACCACCTGCCTTCCTCAGCTGAGGCCCCATCCTCCGTCTTCGACACCAGTGGGACATCTTCCAGGCCCTCGCTGACTCTGACATTCTTTCCTCCCTTTATAAGGACGCTAGGAATTACAGTGGGCCCGCCTCCCTCATCAAGGTCCTTAACTCAGTCACATCTGCAGAGTCCTTTTACCATGTACAGTTCCAGAAATTAGGACATGGACATCTTTGGGGGGCTGTTTTCTGACTATCACTATTCCTAAATGTATACATCTTATCTCCTCTTATGTACTTAACTGTCAGCTGGGTAAATAAAAAATGAATTCTTGATCTTCCCCCCAGATCCTTTCTTCTAGAGTTTGCCTCATTTTGGTAAATGGGACCCCCTTCGTCTCCTAAAGCTAGAAACCTGGGAGTAACTTGGTACATACATGTACCAGAGCCTGACACCCAACCAAGGCCTGTCCATTCTACTTCAGATCAGACCTTGAACCCATCTGTGTTCTGTTACTGTAGCGCAGTGGTTGAAAGTGTAGGTGTTGGGGCAGAGGCTGTTTTGATAAATTGTGCCTCTACTAGTTGTTACTTCACTTTTCCATGCCTCATTTCTTCATCAAATACAGTGAGATACAGTGAGATATAAGTTCATAAATATTTGTACTCAAAACAGTGTCTGGAACACTAAGAAGTTGACAAATATCAGCTCTCATTATCGCCACCTGCGTTGCATCCACTCTTGTCCAACCTCTTAACTCAAGGTCCTGCTTCCAGCCCTGCCCTGCCCTCCAGAAGTTCACTCTCTGCGTGCGCCCAAGTGACACTTTGTAGCAGTTACATTGTCACATTCCCTGCCTAAAATTCTTCAGTGGCTTCTCATTTCACCGAGCATAATATTCAGACTCCATAACAGGTCTTCAAGGCTGTTGACAGGATCGTCAGACAAGTCTTGAGCTCATACCACACCGGCTTCCTCCAGGCCTCAGGTGCCATAGTGACAGCGGGCGTTTGGGTACAGAGTTAATTGAGAACGAGAAAAGGGGATGCATACCTATATTTCATTTAAAGCTTATTTTTAATTGCCGAATCAAATAATAGATTACATCAAGCCTATGTTAATATTTAAAAGATATAAAAAAAGGTTTTTAGAGATACTTCTCTTAAAATATTTGTCAGTTGTTTTCACTAAATGCTTCATCTTTTTAAAACTTGCTGACAACTTGTGTTACTTCCCTTTAAAATAAAAGGGTAGTTTTACTTGCTCAGATTTAAAGTCCACGTGATTTCCTGTTTCCCCTTATCACGTCCCTTTAAGTCTTTCAGACAATCAGGGTCAGTGGAAATCTAATACGTAGGCCAGGCAAACCTTGATGCCAGCACGCAGTGCAGTACCGTTCCCCAGCCCCATGGGATCTCTTGATTATTTAAAAATTATTTTATTCGTATACCCAGTGACTAAAGATTGTGTAAAATTCCCTAAAGCAAACAGATTTCTTTCTCACAATATGGTGTAATTTCATTGTGTAAAAGGAGGTCAGTCTAACGAAGCCTCACGGTTTGTCCTTACTGTCTGTGTGTGTGTGTTGAAGGAATGTTAAAATGGTCATGCTGGGTGAAATTTCTGATATTACCCTCACTGAACACTTCCTGAGAAAGGGGCTAAATATTCACGCATATTGAAGCACAGAGAATTAGTGAGAAACCAACTAGTTCTGTGCAAAGATTCCATTCTGCCAGCAGATACGTGTAGAAATACGGAGAAGGAATCGCGTTAGGGAAGGAGAAAGAGGTTCCTTCTGCATATTCCTAGTGTATTGCTTCCCTATCGGTTTCACCGTTACAAAGTGCTCTCCTCTCCTCCGACCAAAGCTCTGAGTATCCCTAAATTGTCTCCCTTTCTTGGGATGCCTTTCCTGCCTCTTCCGGGCAGAATGAATCATTTCTTCTTTTGTGTTTCCGTGTGCACCTCCTTTTATAGCTCTCTCACTGCGGTGTGCTTGTCTCTTAATGGCAGTAGTGACCATATCTATTTATCTCCCCTGAAGTACTTAGCCTGGCATCACAGTTGCTCTCTAAATGTTTGTTGAATTCAGCTTGTTGAACAAATGCCATTGATATTTTTGTCCTACCTGAAAATGTGTTGGTATTTAATAAAGAGCACAGGAGAATCCATAATAGATGCTGATTTCATACAGTCTGCATTCGCC